CATCTCCCAATTTGATGATCGTACACTCCCAAGATCCAACAGTCATCGTGTCAGCAGCTAGATGACTCAAACAAAATAGCAACACATACACGGCCATAGCTCCACACATGCCCTCGCCCGAACAGAGTGTGTGTTTTTCCGGCACCATCTGCCGTCTTTCAACAATAATATTAAGTTGGACGGTATGCTAGACGTGCCTGGGAATGCAGTGCAAGAAACCGTTTCGAAATCGGCTTACATTTCAAGGACATACGCCCAAAAAACTGGATCGGGGGGAGTTGAAACAAACAGCCAAAAACAGCCCGACCGGGATGACGCCTCTTCAACTTTTTTCGAAATTTATATAATACGTCCCCGCCTAGCCCTACCTATGACCTATGGGCCCTGAGCCGTTCACGAGTGCTACCCGCATCATACCACCTATGCCAACACACCAGACCGAGCACAAAGCACTCACCAACACACCTGCAAACGTGCTGCCAATAAATTCTGCTTCCTGAGAAAGCAGCTGCTGCTGCCGAGAGGTCAGCAGCAACTTGTACTCGGACCAACATGGCGGCACCCCGGGCGAGGCCGCCGCGGAGACGCGGCGGCGGCTCGAGCAACTCCGTGAACATCACAAGCCGCTTGGTGATGGCCTTGATCGCTTTCCTGTCGATCTTCTACCTCTACTTGTCCCACGTCGAGGTCACACGCCACGATATCTCCAGGTCCAGCCCTCACCCGTTCCCTGGGCAGAGCTTCGACACCGACGGTAACTACGACGATGAAGACCCAAGGCAGCACGAGCCGGAAGTGTTGCGCCAACCGAACCACCCCGCGGAGGGCCCAATGGACTACATCCCGCTGCAGTGCGACGGGGGGAAGCCGGACGTGGACTTGTCTTACTGGAAGGACATTCCGCTGGACAAGTGAGGGGTATTTGTTACTGTAGTCCTCTGGCACGAAGAAGGAAGGTCGGAAGATGAATGTGGTGACTAGAATAGAAAGTTCGGTTGTCGTACACACATCGCGACGGAGTCAACATGAGCAGATGAACGTTTGACCCCTTGCGATGGATGCACTTACTGGTGTTTTGATTTGTGCGTGGCGTGCGGTGATGCAAACACGCCAGCAGTCAGGCTCTTCCTTTACAGGCAGCGGGGATCGCAAGCGTGTGCCACGGGCTGCTGCCTGGTTGCCATCATCATGCTCTGAGGCACCAACTGCGAGAGAGAAAATGCGGAAATGCGGACAGATGCATAGTCCCGGGCAACAACACGCCGCGTCTGTACTGTATTTATAATTACTCACCCGCGTAGGTTCTTATGCAAGCTACACGTACAAGTACACGTTCAGACCCTGGGCACAGAGCGTTTTCGATACCGAACGCGAGTGCCTGGAGAGCTAACCACTACGTAGATGTGCGCCCAGCGTGCCCGATTCACCACAAACGTACATAGATTGCTAGGAAAATTCTCGTTCACCCAGAAATGCAATCTGACTTGGACCTCGACGCAAACAGCTGTGCGGGACGTGTCAACCCACGCCCCGACTCCTGCACTTCTGTGCACTGCTGCGTGCTGAGTACGCATTGTAAACTCCAAACACCGGCCTCCATCAATATTTCGCGGTTTTGATTCATCGCCGAGTGCCTCTGTCTCTGTCCCTCCGGTGCTTGGTACACGTTTGGTGGATAGACTACTCCATACATTTCGGAAGTTGGTGCGGCCCTCATCTGCGGTTTTATCCGCCTGACCACGATATATCTATCATCCATACGCACGGGTACGTATGCATTATACAGCTGTTGATGTATATTACTCCGTCGCGTTTGGGCCCCGTTGTTATTTTTGTTTTGGGCCCTTTTTTTTCGCTTTTTTGCATATTCCACACAGGGCATACGAGAGTCCGTGGGGGGCCAGCGCCCGTAAGGCGCAGGAGGAGGGGAGACCGCAGTACGTCACCTTTGAGCCCGACCACGGGGGATTCAACAACATCAGGTGCGTCATTTTTTTTTTTGCTTGTGTTTCGCGGCCCCCGTAGCTTAACTGTGTGCCATGTTCTAGTTGGCAGCCTCCAGGGTTTCAACATCAGGTGCGTTATTTTGTCTTGCGCTTTGGTTGTCTTTTTTTATTTTGCTCGTGTGCAGCGGCCCCTCAGCGTAACCCTGCACCACGTTCTAGTTGTAGCAGCCTCCAGCATAAAGGGTCTACGTAAACCCCCCCCCGCAATCTAGACTTAAGTGGGTTGGCGCTGTTGGCGAAGCGCTGTAAAACACGCCACCCCAAATATAGCCCCCATAGTATGCGCTACCAAAGACGCGTGACGCATGGATGCGTGGAGTGAGGATTGCTTACGGAAACCTCACAGGTTGAGTGATGTAGGAGATTGCCGGACACATAGACGTGTTGAGTGATTAAGCTGTATACTGAAACCCCACGGATTGAGTGAGGTTTGAGATTGCCAGACACACAGGCGGGTTGAGTGGGGATAGCTGCATACTGAAACCCCACGGGTTGAGTGATGTTGGAAATTGCCGGACACAGAGACGCGTTGAGTGAGGATAGCTACATACTGAAACCTCACGAGTTGAGTGATGTTGGAAATTGCCGGACACAGAGACGCGTTGAGTGAGGATAGCTACATACTGAAACCTCACGAGTTGAGTGATGTTGGAAATTGCCGGACACAGAGACGCGTTGAGTGAGGATAGACACATACTGAAACCTCACAGGTGAATTGTATAAGAGATTGCCGGACACATAGACGTGTTGAGTGAGGATAGCTACATACTGAAA